TCTTGGAAACCTAAGCTTCAGAGGATAGGACAGAGAGGTAGACTGAGTGTCAACTCTAAGAGGAAGCTGAACAGGAGCAGTGAGGGAGAAGAAAAACAAGCAGGCTGTTAGCTGGCAGCACAGCCATCTTGAGCTTTTGAGAAAAGCTCTCTAAACAGTGGCCTTCAGGCACATACCATCCTGGTAGCCCCACCCTTGGCATCCCAAGGGCTAGCGGCACCTCCTCCTGCACAACCTCTCCTCTGCCTGGGGTGAGGCATCCAGCATAGCACTCCTGAGCCCACCCTGATCTATGTGGCACAAACAGTGAACAGAGAACTGTGTTCACACTTCCAGTCTCTACCACATCCACCAGGAAGCAGATAGTGAGTGACTGAGAACACACCACCAAATAATCATCGATTAAATACAAATACAATACCACAATGTCTTTGAGAAAACAGACAATTTCAGTTGACACGAAGAAACAAGACAGAATGCCTCAAACAAGTGACCAAAATATAGAATCAGAAAACATATAAAGCCAGAAATGGTATCAGAACTTCTTGATAAGGAATTTAAAAGAAGATATTTAGGTACCTTCAACAGATTTACAGAAAGACTGAAGACAGCAAGGAGAACACAGAAAAAAGCTTAAGAAGATTTCAGGAAAACAATATACGAACAAACTGGCAAAGTAAATGAAAAATTAGAAACTCTAAAAAACAACAATTAGAAAGTCAGAAGTTAATAGTACAATGCATGGGCAAAGACTTAGAATTGAATCAATGTAAGGTCAAATTATTGAACTTAAAGATACATCTTTCAATGTTTATCTGATAATAGAACAATTAGAAAAAGAATTTAAAAATCTGAAGAAAACCTAAGATTTACGTGGTACACTATCAAGAGGAATAACTTATGTATGGCTGTAATTTCAGAACAGGAAGAAACTAACAAACAAAAAACCAATATAGATAAAATTGTACAAGCGTTGTTGGGAGAAAATTTCCCTAATACCATGAAAAACAGCCATTCAAAAAGTGAAATGGACTCAAATAGGATAGACCCCCAAAAGAAAAGCACCAAGACATTATAATCAAACTTTTCAAAACCAAAGATAAGGAAAGAATCCTGAGAGCAGTTCATGAAGAATGGAAAAAAGTTATCTATAAAGGAGAGCTTAATAAAATAAAGCTCTTGTTCCTCAGCAAAAACAAGGTAAGAAGACAATGTGATGATATATAAAACTTTGAAAGAAAAATATTGCCAACCAATAATCATATACTCTGCAAAATTATTCATTAAATATGATGGCAAAATAAGGATGTTTTCAAAGAAACAGAAGTTGAAAGAATTTGCAAACACCAGACCAAACTTACAAAAAAAATGAAAGGAACTTCTATGAACACAGAAGCAACAGCAGACAACAACCTGAGAATAACACACATGACAATATCACCCAGAACTCAACCCACATATAGAGGTATCCAAAGTAACACAAACCTACAAAACTGAAACTAGGGAACTAAATACCAATTTCTAACAACAACAACAACAACAAAAATATAAGGTATAAAGAGGGAATAATGTAACTATAGAACTTCCAAATCAAGTAAATAAATAAACAAAATAAACCTAACTGTAACCCTAAAAACTAGACCAAGTCTTACTCCTAGCCCTAGCCCACCCACTTAACACTACCCTTAACACTAACCTTAGTCCTAATCATAACCCAAACACAAAACAAAGTTCTAGCCCTAGCCTAGGCTTAGCCACAGTCCTAACCCTAACTCTTACTCTTACCCACCAACCCCAGTAAATAAATAAATAAAGTCTACTAGGTTGTTTTACTGTGTCCTGTGTGGCAATGTAGGATAAGCATTCAACCACAACGTCAGTGTGAACCACAAGATCAGTGATTCAAATCCACCAGTTCCTGCTCAGAAACCCTATACAGGGTCACTATGAGTCAGAACCAACTCAATGGCACTTAACAATAACAACATAGTCCTGGTGATGTTTTTTAGTTAGGGGTTGGGCTGCTGACCTAAAGGTGGACAGTTCAAAACCACAGCTGCTCCACAGGAGAAAGATGAGGCTGTCTGATCCAGTGAAGATTTGTTCTCAGAAATCCTGTATAGGATCACTACGAGTCAGAGTCAACTCGATGGCAGTGAGTTTGATTTTGGTGCCAGCTTCTAAAGGCACACAACAAAATATCTGATACATAATCGATACAAATTATGGATGCTTAGTATTCTTTTCTTTTTTCACTTTTCTATTTTCTGGTATTACTTTCATAATCAGAAGAAAAATCTCAATGCTTTTCTCTTTTAAGTGTATGATGGGACTTCAAAAATTTGTAGAAAAATGGAATTCACAGATAATGGAATTTTTTCATGACCTTTTCAAGTCTCCTTGTACTGATTGATTAAAGTTGGTCTCTGTTGACATACATATTTTTTTTCATAAGTTATTTCAGGATAATATTTAAATTAGATCCAAAGAAGTTCCTGGAGACAACTAGCAACTACAGCTAGATAAAGGTGACCCAAAGGAGATTGATATTGTTGTTCGGTATTGTTGCATTGATTCTGACCTATAGCAACCCTGTGTACAACAGGACAAAACATTGCTTCGTCCTGCGTCATCCTCACAATTGTTAACATGTTTGGCCCAAAGTTGCTGCCACTGTGTCAATCCTTCTAGTTGAGGATCTTCCATTTTTTCATTGACTCTCTGTATTGCCAAGTATGAAATCTTTTTCCAGGAACTAATCTATCCTGGTAACATGTCCAAAGTGTATGAGATGAAACCTTGCTATTCTCATTTCCAGGGAGCATTCTGGCCGTACTTCTTTTAAGACAGATTTGTTTATTCTTTTGGCAGTCCATGGTACTTTCAATATTCTTCACCAATAACATGTATTGATTCTTTACAGTCTTCCTTGTTATTAAGTGCTGTTGAGTCGGTTCTGCGACCCTCTATAGGGTTTTCAAGGAGCAGCTGGTGGGTTTGAACCGCCAGCCTTGTGGTTAACAATCCAGTGTTTATCCTATAGCACCACACTAGGATCCCCCGCCACACACAGTCTTCCTTATTTATTCATTGTCCAAATTTCACACTGAGTCCTGGTGTGGTATTGTGAGTTAATGCACTGGACATCAAGGTCAGGTTGAACCACAAGGTCAGTGGTTCAAGCTCACCAGGTGTTCCTTGGAAACTCTATATAGGGTCACTATGAGTCAGAACCGACTCAAAGGCACTTAATAACAACAACAACACTGAGGTGATTGAAAATATCATGGCTTGGGTCAGGCAGACCTTAGTCCTCAAACTGACATCTTTGCTCTTTAACATTTATAGAAGTCTTTTGCAGCAGATTTGCCTAAAGTAATGCGTCATTTGATTATTTGACTGCTGCTTCCACGAACATTAATTGTGGATCCAAGCAGAATGAAGTCTTTGACAACTTCAACCTTTTCTCTACTTATCATGAAATTTATTGGTTCAATTGTGAGAATTTTCATTATCTTTACATTAAGGTACAATCCATACTGAAGGCTGTAATCTTTGATCTTCATCAGTGAGTATTTCAAGTCTTCTTTGCTTTTAGCAAGCAAGGTTGTATCATCTGCATATTGCATGTTGTTAATAGAGGAGAGTTGTTGTTGTTAATTTATGGAGTTGATTTTGACTCACAGCAACACTGTATAGGGTTTCCTAGGCTTTAAATCTTCACTAAAGCAGAAAGCCTCATATTTCTCCAATGGAGTGGTGGTTCTCACCTAACAAACTTTTGGTTTGAGGTCCAGTACTTGTCCTATGGAGTCCCTGTGCTCCCAATAAAGAAGATCGATGGTGGTGGTGGTAGGTTTGTGTCATAGAGTCAGTTCCGACTCATAGGGACCCTGTGTAGGGTTTCTGAGGCTGCTGGTAGAGTAGTGGCTACGAATCGGGCTGCAAACCTTAAGGCCAGCAATTCGAAACTACCAGCCGCTCTGTGGGAGAAAGATGAGGTGTTCTGCTCCCGTAAAGATTTACAGCCTTGGAAACCCTGTACAGGGTCTCTATGGGTCGGAAACGACTCGATGGCACTTAACAACAACAACAACAAATCTTTATGGGAGCAAAAAGCCTCATCTTTCTCCCGCGGAGTAACTGGTAGATTCAAACTACAGACCTTGTGATTAGCAGCGCAGCTCATAATCCACTATGCTACCAGGGCTCATTATAAAGGAGATTGTTATTGTTAAGTGCTGTCAAGTTGGTTCTTACTCATAGTGACCCTGTTTAGTGTTCCCAAGGAATAGCTGGTGGGTTTGAACCACCGACCTTGAAGTTAGCAGCCCAGAACCTATAGCACCACATTAGGACCCCATAAGGGAGATTGTGGCGCTGTGGGTTAATGTGCCAGACTGTAAAGCCATTTGAACTGCAAGGTCAGCAGTTCAAGCTTACCAGCTGCTCCTTGAAAACCCTATACGTGGTTGTATGGGTCAGAACTGACTCGATGACACTTCACAACAACAACAACAAGGAAGATTAGGATTAATTAACAATAACAACAATTATCCTTATGAATTTTAGAAGAGTTAAGAGCAAGTAAACTCTAACACAGGCAGATTGAGGAATTCAAAGCCCCTTCTAGCTCAGAATTTTAGAGAACAACCTTGTGGGCAGGTCCAAGACACTGGACAAGGAGTATAATGGCCAAAGCTGTAGGATAAGTACTAGACTGCTAACCACAAAGTTGGTGGTTCAAACCCACCAGCTGCTCCTTGGAAACCCTATAGAGGGTAGCTATGATCGGAACCAAGTCGACAGCACATAACAATAACAATCACTAACAGAAGTCCACAGATCTGTGGATTGATGGACGCCTGCTTTACCTACCTTCCCTTTAGTGATAAGGACAATAGACACAGAGAGAAAAAAGTAATTTGTTCATTTAAAGTTTAGCAGAAAATTCTCTTACACTTGTCCTCTTCCCTCCCACCTTCTCTAGAAAACTCTACCTGCTTTAAATTATCAGCCAGAAACACAATATACACACAGCAGAAACCCAGCTGGGTGATTATAAGGAAGACTGTCACAGCATGCCTAGAGGGGAGGAAGAGAGAGAGAACACTTGTTACAAAAGAAGTTAGTTGTCAATTCCATGTCTTGATATTTTGCCCCTGCCCCCTGTTGTTCTCTGAACCAGCAACTTTGAACCTGTCACCACAATCAACAATGAGACAGTAACCAATAGTTCTCTTTAAAAATGCTTTTCAACCAACAGCACATTCTCAGTTCAGCAAGTAGTAAAATTCTTCCTGGTCAGGAACTTCCCTGTACCTGGCTCTGCAGCATACCTCCTAATTGACACTAATAGAAATAGGACAATGGGCACAATGTTTTATTAAGTATCATTAACATTCAAATTTTTTTTTTCTGCCATTGTGCCTGACACTATGTTGTTGTTGTTAAGTGCCATTGAGTCAGTTCTGACCCATAGTGATCCTCTATAGGGTTTCCAAGGAACAGTTGGTGAGCTTGAACCACTGACCTTGTGGTTCAAACTGACTCTGCAATCCAGTGCATTAACCCACAGTGCCACATCAGTACACTATGTTAGACACAGACAAATAACACAAAATCTTTACCTCTAGTAGTTTATAGACTAGTGAGCAGGATGAACAAAGATTATTATAATATGATATGGAGTCCTGGTGTAGCACTGTGGGATAAAACACTAGAACGAAAGGTCGGTTTGAACCACAAGGTCAGTGGTTCAAACTCACCAGCCACTCCTTGGAAACCCTACACAGGGTCACTATCAATTGGAACTGACTCGACGGCACTTAACAACAATAATACGACACAAAAGGAGTTAACATAAAAAGAGCTATTTACCCAAATTATGGTGGAGACAGAAAGTTTTCCTAGAAAAATTTATGTATTAGTAAAAGATTTTAAGGACAAAGAAGAATTGGAAAGGAGCAAAATGAAAGGAGAGAGAAGAGGAGGGAGGAAAAAGAAGAACAACAGTAGCAATATATATAATAAGAAAACTAAGAGAGGAAAGTCTATTTTAGTAGAGTAAGTGGGCAGAGTTTTCTAGCTGCCACAGGGAGAGTCCAGTCTGGCTGGCAAGGATAGGAGGCTGAATAGGAAATTCTTGAAATAATGGAGGTGACAGCATAGTCCAGAAGTAACCTTTAGGATTCAGAGAATGAAAACATTTAAAGAGATATTAAGGAGCCAGAATAGACTATCTATCTTTCTATCTATCATATATATATATATATAAAACAACAAAACTGATGACTTACAGGTTTTTGGCTTTGGCACAAAATTAACAGGGAATCATAGAAAGAAGAACTAGTTTTAGAGGAAGGAGCACAAATCACACATTCAATATTTGAATTGCTGAGCTTGAGGTTCCTATGGGAGACATTCAAGAGGCAATGATAGCTTTTAGGATCTGGAACTGTTTGTTTTTGGATAAAATCTTGAGAAGACAGGAAATCACTGTCAGCCTGTGCCTAGTAAGAAGAGAAGCAACATTCCAAACACTGTAGAGTACCAACAAGGATGAAGACAAAGAAGTCCATGACGATGACAACGGAATAGTCAAGAAGGGAGAAAGAAAACCAGGCAAAAAGAGACTTAATAGAAACCAAGGGGATGAGGGTAGGAACAATGTTTCAAAAAATAATACTTCTGCTGAGGGCTCTCTAGAGTAGAGAAGGTATAATAAGGAAGTCTGAGAGGACATTAGTCTACTAAGAACTTCAGTAGAATTATGAAGAGAGAAGAGTCAGATGACCGCTGAAAAAGATGTGAATGGAATATGAGGAAACAAAGTTCGAGGTAGTGGCATTACTGGGGGAGTATGAGGGAGTCTTTCTCTGCTATTCATAAGGTTTTCAGTGACTAAATATTCAGAAGTAGTTTGTCACTCTTTCTTCTTAGTCTGTCTTTGTCTGGAAGCTCATCTGAAACCAGTCCACAATGGGTGACCCTGCTGATATTTAAAAATACTGGTGGCATAGTTTTCAGAATCACAGCAACTCAGAAGCCACCACAGTAAGACTAACTGACAGACGTGCAGAAAGCATCAAGAGAAGATGGAAGGAATATACACAGTCACTGTACCATAAGGAAATAGTTAATGTTCAACTGTTTCAAGAGGTAGCAGATGATCAAGAGCCAATGATACTGAAGGAGGAAGTCCAAGGTGCATTGAAGGAATTGGCAAAGAACAACGCACCAGGAATCGAGTAAAAATTGAAATCTTTCAAGAAAATGAGGCGGCACAGGAGGCACTCACTCAGCTATGCCAAGAAATTTGGAAGACAACTATCTAGCTGACTGATTGGAAGAGATCTGTATTTGTGCCCATTCCAAAGAGAGGTGACCCAACAGAATGTGGAAATCATCAGACAATCTCTTTGATATCTCATGCAAATAAAGTTTTGTTAAAGGTAATATAGAAATGGCTACAATCGTACATTGACAGAGAACTTCCAGAGGTTCAAGCTGGATTCAGAAAAGGTCGTGGAATGAGGGATATAATTGCTGAAGTCCGATGGGTCTTGGCTAAAAGCAGAGCATATCGAAAGGTGTTTACCTGTGCTTTATTAGGCTTTTGATTGTGTGAATCATGACAAGTTATGGACAACAATGCGAAGTATGAGTATTCCGGAACAGTTAATTGTGCTCATGAGGAATCTGTACGTGGACCAAGAAGCAGTTGTTTGAAAAGAACATGGGAACACTGAGTGTTTTCAAATTAAGAAAGGTGTGAGACAAGGTTGTATTCTTTCACCATACTTATTCAACCTGTATGCTGAGCAAATAATCCGTGAATCTGGGTTATATGAAGAAAAAGTGGCATCAGGATTGGAGGAAGACTCATTAACAACCTGCTATATGCAGATGATACAACCTTACTTGCTGAAAGTGAAGAAGGCTTAAAACATTTACTGATGAAGATCAAAGAGCACAGCCTTCAGTATGGATTACATCTCAATGTCAAGAAAACAAAAATCCTCACCACTGGACCAATAAACAACACTTTTATCAACGGAGAAAAGATTGAAGTTGTCAAGGACTTCACTCTTCTTGGATCAACTATCAACACTCACGGAAGCAGCAGTCAAGAGATCAAACAACATATTGCATTAGGCAAATCTGCTGCACAAGACCTTTTTAAAGTGTTGAAGAGCAAAGATGTCAGCTTGAGGACTAAGGTGCACCTGACCAAAGCCATGGTATTTTCAATAACCTCATATGGATGCGAAAGCTGCACAGTGACTAAGGAAGACCATAGAAGAAATGATGCTTTTGAGTTATGGTGTTTGAGGAGAATATTGAAAATGCCATGGACTGTCAAAAGAACCAATAGATCCATTCTGGAAGAAGTGTAGCCAGAGTGCTCCTTAGAGGCCAAGATGGCCAAACTTCATCTCTCATACTTTGGACATATTGTCAGGATGGAGTAGTCGCTGGAGAAGTATATCATGTTTGGTAAGGTGGAGGGTCAGAGAAAAAGAGGAAGACCCCCAATAATATGGATTGGCCAAGTGGCAGCATCAATGGACTCAAGCATGGCAACAGTAGTGAGTTTGGCCCAGGATTGGGCAGTGTTTCGTTCTGCTGTGCGTAAGGTCGCTATGTATCAGTACTGACTTGATGGCACCTAACAACATGAGGGAGTAGACCATACTGGGTGACAATGTTAGAGGGGTGACACCAAAATGACTGTCTATAAAATTTTTGCTTCAATAGAAATGTATTGTTTTTATAAAAATATCCCTTTGGTCTTAAAAGCTTGTGAGCAGCCATCTAAGGTGAAACTACTGGCCTCGCCTAGTCTAAAGTAAAGAAGAGTGATGAAAATTCCAGACACGTGGCAGCAATTAGTCCAATGAAGTAAAATACCATGGGAACATTAGTCTCCATGACCCTGAGACCAGAAGAACTAGATGATGCCCAGCTACCACTACCAACTGCCCTGAAAGGACCATTTAAAAACTTCCTGGATAGAGTGTGAGAAAATGTGGAACAAAATGCAAAATCACAGAAAAACAAAACAGGCTTATTGGTCAGATAGAGGCTGGTGGAATGCTGATACTATGACCTTTGATTATCGTTCAGGTCTGGAACTGAACTCACTCTCATGATTCAATTTTCAGTCAAGCAATAGATAAATGTATAGCACTAGTGAGATCAACAATTTGAGCTCAAAATGGCAGCATTTACCCAAGGAAACTGTTTAGAAGTGTTGGGAAAGATGGAGACAGGGAATAAGAAGCACAGGGAGAAAGTTGGATAAATGATGATATATTGAGGAGATTGCAATCAATGAGATGAAAAGAAGTGTGCATCATTTGCTCAATGTAAAACTGATGATCTGTTCTGCAACACTTCACCAAATTCACAATAAACAATTTTTTTTTTCATAAACCCAGCTTGCTTACGTAAATTGTAGTTATTGTTGTTAAGTGCTGTTGTATCTGTTCTGACCCATATCGACTCTGTATAGGCTTTCCATGAAGTGGCTGGTGGGTTTGAACCATCATCCTTGTGGTTAGCAGTGGGTTAATGCACTGGACTGCAAAGTCAGTTTGAACCACAAGGTCAGTGGCTCAAGCTCACGAGCTGCTCCTCGGGAACCCTATACAGTGTCACTGTGGGTTGGAACCAACTCGACAGCACTTCACAACAAAAACAATAGGGTTTCCAAGGAGTAGCTGGTGGGTTTGAACCACTGACCTTGCAGTTCGAACTTGTGGTCCAGTGCATTATCCTGCAGTGTCACACCTGGACTTCATCAATATACCTGTTGTTGTTGTGAAGTGCTGTCGAGTCAGTTCTGACTCATAGCAACCCTGTATAATCCACCAGACGTGTCTGGTGGATTTGAACCACCAACCTTGAAGTTCAAACTTGTGATCCAGGAATATCATGTTCAGCACAACACCAGGACTCTGACAGGGCTAAAATTTCATGCTAACTTACATTCCAAACTTTCTAATGTACTCAGGTCTGAGCTGTCACCATTACAACTCTTTGAATTATGTGACAAGCACACACTCTTGTTTTCATTGTTGCTGGTGTTTCTATAGTTTCTGATTTTAACAAAATTTCTGAAAATATTTTATAGCCATGATATTGTGATAATTAGTATTAGTGAACCTAAATCATTTTTTTAAAGATAAAGTAGTGATTGGAGGGAAAAGGAGATAAATTTTTTTAAAAGACTTCTGCTCAATTACTAGTAATGTTGTAACTAATAGTGTTACAATTCAATGCAGAAAGATTTTAAAAAACAATTTTGCTATTGGTATTCATATAGTTTAAGAAATACAATGTTTAAATAATTTACAACTTGAGTGACTTCAAAAAAAAGTATGGAAAATGAAATTAAGAGATAATGGAATTTTTCCATTCACTTTTAAAAGCCCTATCATATATTTGTTACATATTATTGTATGATCAAAATTGCTAAGAGACACAACTAAGGATTCTGTATGGTCTGGTATGGGAGGAAGTCCTTGGCGGAGGAGTGACGCCGTGGTCACAGTGTGGACTTTCTATCACAAAGCTGGAATGTGAGTGCCTGTTCTGACAGTATCCATTTCACTCTTCCTTATACCATTGTACATTTTGACACATTGCAGATCTTGAGAAATATTTGTTGAATATGAGATAAGATAGTGGCTAGAGGATGGTGTGTGGTCCAGGAAGCTATATTTTTTATTTTTTTTAATGGAAGTGCATGAACACATTTAAATTCTTAGGGAAGACATCCATAGAAGAGATGTTTCTGTTATTGGAGAAAAGATCATTAGTGGAACAAGGCATTTATATAGGGTGTGTGATGTGCAAGAGGAGTGGATTGAGGTCAAAGTCTCCTCTTGGGTCACATCACTGGGAAAATTCTGATTATCATTCTGTATCCTTTGGAGTCTGCTTATGGGTTGAATTAATAGAGAATGAGCTTTGGGCCAAGGGGGCTGCTAGACTCATAATGCCTTGCCTATCTTATGTGAGCAGGAACACACGTGGAACACTGAAATGCTTTGGGGTATCAAAGTTCAAGAGAGCTCAAGAGAGACCTAGTGATCTAATCAGTGCTCACAAAAAAAAAAGAAAAGAAAAGAAGGCAGACATGATTCTGACAAGTCTAGACGACAAAGGAGTCCATCTAGTTATAAGGCCCAGAAGACGGAGGGGCTGGTTATTTGTGCTGTGATACCCTTGAGAGTTAAAAGATTGGGTAGAGTTGCAAGGAAGAAGACTTTGTTGGTGTTGTTAAGTGCCATCGAATTGGTTCTCATTCATAGTGACCCTGTATAGGGTTTCTGAGGAGCAACTGTTGAGTTTGAACTGCACACCTTGCAAGTCAAAGTCATAAAGCCTCAGTATCTTTCTCTCCTTTTTTTTCCCTCTCTCTATATATTCTCTCCATGAGAGAGCATTACTACTCCCTGACTTCATGACTAATGACTTCAGTTCTTTGTCTTCTGCACAAAGATAGGTTAGAATCTATACATGTAACCATGCCAACTTGGATGTTTTTTCAGCACCTCAAACTTGTCCAAAATTGGAGTCATCAGAAACCTAAGCCGTCTTTGACTTTGCCTTTCTCAATATTCAATTCATGACCAAGTCCACATGGTCCATCCCTACTGCCACCAGCTTGGTCCAAACCACCATTGTCACCTGTCTGGTCATTATCAACAGCCTCCTTACCTGTCTGACTAAATCTATTCTTGCTCCCTTACAATCTAGTCCCTTTGCAGAAGTCTCAGACAGATCTTTAAGTAGTGTCAATACGATCACTTCTCTGCTTAAAGCCCTCGCGCTTTTATGAAAAGAATACAGTTGTTAAGAGGATCTAAAACTCTCAGGCTGGTTTGACCTGGCATCAGACTTCTTCAGTTTCTCCTCCCTGACTCTCTGCCCTTAAGCCAGCTGGTGGTATTTGCATACCTTGAAACTGCTACACACTTCTTCTCGCTTCAGAACCTTCACATGTGCTCATCCTTCTTTCTGGAAAGTCTGTGGCCCTGCCCGTTTTCAGGGAATTCCTCATTTTTCAAATACCTTCTTTCAGAATTCAGCTCAGCTAGTCCAGCCTGGAAAACCCCTTCCCAAGCCCAAGAACATCACCTTACCTGCTCAGTAGCAAGCAATGTTTCTTTCCCTCATATTACTTACCCTTGAGGTTATAAAGTAACTGTGTTTAATGCCTGCCTTTCCCACTTAACTGTAGATTCTGTAAGGGCAAAGTCTTATAATTTGTCTTATTCCCCGTGGTTTTTCCGGTGCCTGGAATATAGTAGCAATTGGATATATGTTGTTCAATAAAAGACAGGATACTATTAAAGGTGAATAGCAAAGGAATGAGCACCATGTCACTGGAGGCATACAAGGAGGGACGGGTTATAGATGTTACCAAGTAACCCCTTCTGACATTCTGTGCCACATAAGCCACCTTTCCAGGGAAGAAGACATCTCTGAAAGCACCATTTTCACCTACAATATGCTTCCTCACTGTGAGCAGAGCAAAAACAAAGTACCTTCCCCAGGAGGCATGGTTCCGGAGCCAGGAGCTGGGACTGGATTCGAGTCCATGCATCACTGTATCCCCATAGTCCATAAAGGGCTTGTTAAGCCTGTGGGAGAGAGTTCCATACACAATTGCCAAGTGACCATTTAACCTAGGATTGCATACTCAAAAGTCAGGAGACACTGAGCAAGCCCTGCTGGATAGTGGGAAGAACACTAAGGCAGAGACCTCAGTTCTAATTCAGGTTCTGATAACTGCTGGGGTTTCATTGGTGGCTTGTTTTCCTCACCTGTCCAATGAGATATTTACTAGGTAACAAGAGTAACAATGCATACTTTGCACAGGTACTGTAGTTTTCATAGCCAAGATCCTATTGGATCCTCATGACAATTTTCTGAGGCATGACTGAGTATGGAATGTTTATGCCCAATTTATAAACGAGTCAAGCCAGTAAGCACAATAAATAGCCTGATTGAGATAATTTAATGAATAATGTGGAGGTGCGGTAGTTCTGTAAGATAAGCAGTAGGCTGCAGACCACAAGGATGGAGATTAGACCCCACCAGTTGCTCCATAGGAGCTTTGGTAGCGTAGGGGTTACGAATTGGGCTGCTAACCTCAGGGTCAGCAGTTCGAAACTACCAGCTATTCTGTGGGAGAAAGATGAGGCTTTCTGCTTCCACAAAGATCTACTGCCTTGGAAACCCTATTCAGGGTTGCTATGAGTCGGTATTGACTCTACGGCACTTAATAGCAACAACAATAAGTAACGTGGGGTCCCTGGTACTGCAAACTTAATAATACATTCAGCTGCTAACCAAAGGGTTGTTGGTTTAAATTCACTCAGAGGTGCCTGGGGGTCTGCTTCTGAAAAATTGTTGTGGCTAAGTGCTGTTTCAGTTTTGACTCACAGCAAATCCTGTATAGGGTTTCCGAGGAACAGCTGGTGAGTTTGAATCACCCACCTTGAGGTTCGAAGCAATCTTGCCGTCAAGTGTTTATCCTACAGCACCACGAAAATTCTATGGAACACAATTATACTCTAAACACATGCAGTCTGGCTTTCAAGGAGAAACGTGGCAGAGCACGACCTTAAGTTTTTAAGTGTTTTTCTCTTTATAGTGGCCTTGTTAGAGAAGATTTGCAATTAAATTCCTGCTATGGTGACGCTGTTGGTTAGACACTGGTCTGCTCCACTAACCACATCCTGGGAGAAAGATGAGGCTACCTGATGTCTAGAGATGTACAGTCTCAGAAACCCTAGGGAGCAGTTCTACTCTGTCCTATAGGATGACTATGAATATGAATGGACTCGGTGGCAGTGGGTTTGCATTTTATGTACAGGCGGCACATACGGTTTATGCTCAACTGCTTAACTAAAGGTTGGCAGGGTGAACACACTGTGCAGTACTATGGAAGAAAAGACCTGATGATTGGCTGCCATTAAGATTACAGCCAAGAAATCCTTATGGAGCAGTAACATTGATGACTTAACTGGAATTAACACACCACCATGTCAAGAATGTTTCTGGGATATCCCTGAGAACCAAAGGAATCAATGCAAGGGGGCTGTTTTCCTCACCTGTGACAGAAGTGCTGGGCACACCTGGTCAGGATGCGCATGCAGTGGCAGGCAACGAAGCCTATTGCCAGCACGCTGAGTGGGCCCATCTGGAGGACAGAGGGAAGGGGCCAGGGGAGAAAGAAGAGAATGAATGGGTTTAGAAGGAAACAGAAGTGATTTGATGACTGCAAGTCTCATTAAGAACTCAAAGAATTTTCTAGCAAACTGATTTGCAAACTCACTTAAACAGCAAAAGCTAGGTTTTTTTGTTTTTCCCCCCCACAAATGTAATCTAAAATCAAATGACAATAGCAAGGTTTGATAAGGTACTTTGTGAGTTGTGAGTGTATGTAAATGGTGGAGGGATAATTTGGAAACCAAGGGTGAGAATGGTTGCAGGACTTGAAGAATGTACTCAATGACACTGAGTTGTAGAACTTTTGGAATCAGTGTATTGTTTTGCTGTGTATCTTTTCAACAATAACAATAAAATAATGTTTTAAAATAAAATAACCATTGCTAAAAACAAAATTCATCTCGATCTGCGCTGTAAACCTTTACTCAAGTCATAATAAAAAGTTTAAAAAAACATCTCAAGTAGAACACCAATAAGATACATTCAGGTTCTGATAACTAATGAAATTGCTTTGGTGATTTGTTTTCCTCACCTGTGCAATGATGTAGTTGCTAGGTAACAAGAGTAACAATGCATACTTTGCACAGGTACTGTAGTTTTCATAGCCAAGATCCTATTGGATCCTCATGAAAATTTTCTGAGGCATGACTAAGTATGGATTGTTTATGCCCAATTTATAAATGAGTCAAGCCGGTAAGCACAATGGCCTGATTGAGGTCATCTAATAAGTAATGTGGGTGCATAGAGATACATAAAGCCATTGTAATGGTCTTTTGTGGTGGGAGTAGGACACAGAATCCTGTCCATGTGCCTCTCAGAAACACTGTTCATTTCAGACAAACATAAACTGTCAAAGGCCTCTCCTTCCACAACCCAGGCAAGGCCCCACCAGTACCAGCATTTCTTACCAGGATGCCTGCATTCTTTATGGCCAGAGGGAGCCCCAGGATCCCTGTACCCATGTTGCCTTTCACCAGGTGAACCAAGGTCTGGAACCCCCTATAGGAGAGGAAGGAGATGTGAGGACGTGGGTGTGTGGAGGTGAGAAGATCCGGCCCACAGCATGCTAGTACCAGTGCTAAGCTGGGCAGGGGGTTCTCTGGTCATTTCTCAGTCACCTTGTCCTTGCCTGTAGGTGACTAAGTCGTCTGGTTTGCCTGGAATTATCCTGGCTTTAGAAGCTCGAGCTGATTATATCATTACACTGACTGGAAGCCAGACACTGTGCTAAGTACTTTGTATGCATGATCACACTTAATCCTCTTGTCAAGACTATGAGAAAAGCATTATCATTGCCCCTATTTTGCATATGAGAAAACTAAAGCACAGTGACTTGTCCATTCTTATATAGGGGAACCAGAATTTAACCCTAGGACTGCTGCTTCAGAGACCCTGCTCTTCACCTACACCTCTACTAAGATAGCCCAAGACAGATGAATCATAAAATAACCTGATTTCATAAATGAGGAAAGTTACGCTCACGGATGGGCAGTGACTATCCCAAGGTCAAAAAATTAGTAGCAGAAACAGGGTTGGACCCAGAGGAAAGGGCAAACAAAAAAATATTGTGAAATCTTAGCAAATAGGTCAGATATTTGGGTGCCCGGGTGAAGTTTGGGCCTGGATCCTTGGGGGACTAGGCTCCAGAGATTTCTTTACACCATTCCAGGTGCATATTGGGCTTATATCCACAATTTTAGAAACCTTAAAAAGTTCCCTATGAGACTCTTCCAGCTAGGTGAATTACTCTGAAAACCAGTGGAAATGTTTTGGAAGGAGCCTGGTCTCTGGGGTTGTTCACGCAGGGATTTAAACTTCAAGGCCATTTCTTGACATTATGTTGAGCAACATGCTCATTGCTGAACTTCTGAAAATATTGGAAAGAACAGCCTCAAACGCCTGCATCTTTGTGCTAAAGTCGTCAACTCTCTAGCTTCCTGAGGTTCTGCTCTAACTGTGGTAAGGGTTAGAGGGAGGGAGAGAGTAGGGATTCCCACAAGTCTTTCTCCCTCCTTGTGGGAGTCAACATCACTGAGAGAGCACTGCGCCCTACAGCTGCCAGTGATGGTTTGTTTTGAACCTAGGAGAGGTTCAACGGGTTACTTAGAAACTTCCAACTAAAAAGGGCTTAAGATATCAAAATTTAGGTCATTCAGCTAACATAGCATACTGCAAAGCACTGGAGACCTGAGTTCTAGACCGAACTCCCTTGATGACCTTGGACCTGACATCATCAGAATCCCAGGTGCTGACTCTGCTGGAGGCTTTATACTGAAATCTCCTTTACAACCACCACAGTGGTGACAGCAGCTGTGTGTCCTCAAGTTGGTTTGGACTCAGGTTAGCAGCCCAACACTACCATGGCTCCTGTTGGTTAGTGTCATGGAGTCAGTTCCAATCCATAGCTACCCTGTATAGGGTTTCTGAGGAGTAGTGGCTGGTGAGTTTGAACCGTTGACCTTGTGGTTCAAATGACTTTGCAATCCAGTGCATTAACCCACAGAGCCACACCAGGGCTCCAGGTAGGAACTACAAATTCTCAGTAGTCTAGCTTTACAGAGTAGCAACTGAAGTACAGAGAAGTGACATCATGCACCCAAGCTGGTAAAGAACAAAGTGGGTTTTCAAACCAACTCTGAAAGTGCCATCCTCACCCACTCTGTCACTCTTCCTCCCTTCACACCATGAGATGCTCACTACCTCTGACCTACTTTATTACTCTGATTCTCAACCAACATTGCCACCAAACCAAGTGTCAGTTCAGGACATAAGAGCTAGATGGTTCCCCCAAGACCTCCAATTGAGAAATATCCTTACTCCGTCCAGCATGGCACCAACGCTAGAGCAAGCACACCCTCAGTGACACAGAAAGCGTTCCACGTCAACCAAACAATGACACCGTGTCAGTCCCTAAATTGTCCCAGAGGATAATGATAGAAGAGGGCTTTCCTACTCCTTAACAGTCCTTCTCTCTTCCTGCCTCCACCCCTGCCTGCTTCAAGTTTAGGTTCTACAGGCATCCTTTAATTCATACTGCCACCAATTTACACCTGTTTTCATATATGGGGCACCCAAGATTTGGAGAAGATAAGAAGTAGTCACAGCGTGAACTCAGATTTGATTCTTTGCCCAGTGCTCTATCTATCTACTACACCAATGGTTTTCACAGCTTGCTTTTTAAAACAGTAGACCCTCTCTACTACTGTGCTTCCCACTATTTTCCCCACTAAGCAAACTAGCTATTCTGGTGGAGGAGTGGAGTCTGAATGAAGGACAAGGGAGTTAGGGCCTTGTAGTGTGGCTTCCCTGTCCATCTTTTTTTTTTTTTTTTAATGTTTTATTGTGAATTATGTGATAGTTTACATGGGAGTACACCAGCTTTACATTCATCCTATTGTATATCATTTCATTGCCATGGTTACAATCCCCTCCATGCATCATCAACCAACCAAAGGGTATAACCTGCAAGCCTGGCCCCTGGTCATCAGCACACAGCCCCTCTCCCTCTCTAGGTCTAGAGTCCCCAGCCACTCCATCTCTCCACGTAATTGTCTCTGCCTCAATCTCTGGTGTCACTGTTTCTGATAGATCCTCCTTATCTCCAAGTGAAAGTCTTGTGAGTGATCTTTCCCCTACCCTAGAAAAATGAAAAACCTTCCATATGTTATGCTTATTGGTGTCCTCAACTGCAATTTCCATTAGAAATAGAGACCAGGATGGCTACAGGCAGGAGACAGGGAGGAAGCAATTCTTGGTTTCAGGGAGGTCACTGTAGCTCTAAGATCAGGTCTGACCTTTGCCTCCAAGAATTTGGGGATTCTGCCTATAGAGCAAGGTCGACAAGGAACAGCATTTCCTTTTGGACCAGCACTGGAATCTAGTCCCTATGCTATCGATGACTCGAAGTGTGACTCCAGGTAACTGGGCATTAGTTTCCCCACCAGCACACATTGGGAATTGGATCACAATTACATGAACATATATATGCTCTCTGGTAGCGTAGTGGTTACGAATCGGGCTGCGAATCTTAAGGTCAGCGGTTCGAAACTACCAGTCGCTCCGCGGGAGAAAGATGAGGCTTTCTACTCCTGTAAAGATTTACAGCCTCGGAAACACTATACAGGGTTGCTATGAGTTGGAACCAACTCCACAGCACAAAACAACAACATATATGTATGTATATATATGTCGGCTTTTCTAACATTCTCCACCCCTGCCTTCTTGAACTCTTATTCTCACTCAATCTCTGATTTTATCTTTTCCAAAATTGGTTATTCCATTTACACAATGGGTTAGGGGGTCAGACACACCCACCTTCAGGATTTTGCCACTGGCTGCTCTCAGGCTAGAAGGCAGAAATAGAGATGGCAGAAAACACTCACGTTATACCCTTGGCCTTCTCCAAGCTTGGTGACTCTGCAGAGCTTCTTTCCAAGAAGCTAGAGTTCCTGTTTTGTAGATTCTTGGCACTTTCAGGAGAGTCTATGAAGTCCAGTTTGAGAGAGACAGGCCCCTGGGGATCCCTGACTTCCTTGGTCAAAGGCATGACTGCTTCAGAAATAGAAGGCTCAGGGTGTTGAGGAGATCTGTTGGAAAGAGACAAGCAAGAAGGGGTCTAGTTTATCTGCAAACCCCGGCTTAGTGGCTTGTGTTTTAGCAAACTCTGGTCAAGCTGGAGTGAGGCTCCACCTACCATCCTGAAGGACACCTCCTCCTCCCTCTGAGGAAGCCCAGTGGAAGAGGAGCTATGTTCTCCTGGGAGGAGGAGGAATTGAGGGAGGGAGTTTACCCACACTATTGGTATTACCTAATAGGAGAAATTACAACAGTTGCCATGTTACAGATCATTGAATAATTTGTATTTATTAAGCCCTTCACTAAGGAATAGACATTCTTTTAACTACTTTAACTGCAGTTTCTCATTTAATCCTGTAAATTAAATAATGAGGAAATGGAAGCTACCTGAAGTAAAGGAAACTGGCTGAGGTTACACAGCTGGAAGGGGCCAGAGTTGGGACTTGAGCCCAACTCGTCAGGATTTTTAACCAGTATCCTGTTTCTGCCTGTGAGAGAATATCTCTCCCTCATCTCAGGTCATTTCAGGCTGCAGTTTCCATTTCTCACTGGATGTTCAATCTGGTGCTAGATATCACTTCTGCAAACTCCTCTTATTTAACTTGGGAAAAGGGAACATTCACCTCTAGTAAAACAGTTGCTGCTGAGTTGGCTGATTCAATGGCAACCCCATGTCAGAATAGAACTTCACTCCACAGGGTTTTAAATGGCTGATTTTTTGAAAGTAGATAGTCAGGTCTTTCTTTTGAGGCATCTCTGGGTGGACTTAGACTGCCAACCTTTCCATTGTCAAGTCCTTGACCATTTGCGGCACTCAGGGACTCCTCACCTCTAATTATGCCTTAGCTTTTGTGAGGCTCCAGGGAGTCTGAGAGGGTATTCTCTTGGAAAGGGTATGCCAGAGAGAGTACAACGCCCAGTCCATTCTTCTGGGCAGGACACTGGGGTCTGGAGAGGGTGTGATTTGTCTGATGCTACACATCACTGTCAGGATGGGACCACTGCATCTAAAGAAGGTCTTGGGGGGATCTCTAGTGCTCCTTTCTCTGTCTTAGTCTTTGTTTCAGGGACAGATGTTGTTGTTGTAAAATGCTGTCAAGTTGGTTCCGACTCATAGCGACTCTGCATAGGGTTTCCGAGGAGCAGCTGGTGAGCTTGAACCGTCAACCTTGCAGTTCAAACGGCTTTGCAGTCTGACGCATTAACCCACAGCACCACACGGGGACAGATGAGTGGACAGAATTTCCTCCCCCCTCAAAAACTTATCATTTTACTGAAGCCAGATCATCTTTCCCACTATCTTCTCATCACAACCCTAGCATTTTTTTGAGTGCTTGCCATGTGCTAAGAGCTTCACATAACTTCACATAAATTGCTATGTGATAGCCTCAGAGACAGATTCCTCAGGGCCTCTCCCTTACATGAGGCCCTTCCTAAAGGCCTGTATGTACTGTAGCTTTGTATTTATAGTTCTGTGTTCTTTTTCTCAAAGAGTTACTCGACACACACCCAATGGTATAAGCCTTTTGTCCTACAAAATCTAACTACTCCTCTGGAAAGCGTTATTATGATTATTATACAATGTGGAAACTGAGGCTCAGCGAGGTAAAGGAGAGCTTGCCCAAGGTCACAGCTAATACTTGCAGAGCTGGAACTCTACCTGAGCCAAGTCTTTCTGCCTCTGAAGTCCAAGTCCACTACTCTGCCTCCTAGTTTTAATCCTGGCTCCACCCCTCAAGTTTCTTGTCATGAGTCAACAGAAGCACTTGCTGTGGTTTGAGAATTAGCATAAATTCACCTGACTCTTAGTGTTTACTGCATGCTGTACACTCACAGCACATCCTGAGACCCACTTTTTGAGAAGCTGAGATTCCATGATTCAATTCTAATCAAGGATCTCAGGACACCAACATATTCTCTTCCTACTCAGGCAACAAAACCAGTAAATTGCATTGTCAAGAAGCTTGAGCTTTTTGACTATTGAGACTATTTCTTGATTCCTCTCCAGGTAGGGACAAAAACCCTAGTTAATCATCAAACTTTTCAGAAAGGAGCTTCTGGAATCTCAGTGTTTGGCTGGGTCTCTTCCTAGGCATCGCCTTGGGAACAATAGCTATAGACACACCCACCCACAACTTGTTGTCTAGCCTAGCAGGAGCTTGTCCTACAGTGGAGATCCCAAGAATGAGCTCTTGTTGTACTAACCCAGGCATCCAGAGCCCTAAATTCCATTGTGACTCTGCCATGAACCTGCTGTGATCCTGGCAAAAGTGTTTTCTCTGTTGGGCGTCAGATTTCCCCTTGTGAAATGGGGGCTAGGCAATAGGTGATTCCTGATGGAATGAGGAACCCAGAGATTTCTTGGTATCTAGACTTGGCATCAGGATTGGAGGAAGATCATTAATATCCTGAGATATGCAGATGATACAACCTTGCTTGCTGAAAGTGACGACTTAAAACATTTACTGATGAAGATCAAAGAGCACAGCCTTCAGTATGGATTACATCTCAATGTAAAGAAAACAAAAATCCCCACCACTGGACCAATAAACAACATTCTTATCAATGGAGAAAAGACTGACATTGTCAAGGACTTCATTCTTCTTGGAACAACTATCAACACTCACAGAAGCAGCAGTCAAGAAATCAAACAACGTATTGCATTAGGCAAATCTGCTGCACAAGACCTTTTTAAAGTGTTGAAGAGCAAAGATGTCATCAGCTTGAGGACTAAGGTGCACCTAACCCAAGCCATGGTATTTTCAATAACTTCATATGCATGTGAAAGCTGGACAATAAATAAGGAATACCATAGAAGAATTGATGCTTTTGAGTTATGGTGTTGGAGGAGAATATTGAAAGTGCCATGGGCTTCCAGAAGAACCAATAGATTTATTTTGGAAGAAGTGTAGCCAGAGTGTTCCTTGGAGGCCAAGATGACCAAATTTCGTCTCTCATACTCTGACATAGTGTCAGGAGGGACCAGTCACTGGAGAAGGATATCATGTTTGGTAAACTGGAGGGTCAGAGAAAAAGAGGAAGATCCCAATGAGATGGATTGGCAAAGCGGCAGCATCGATGGACTCAAGCGTGGCAACAGTAGTGAGGCTGGCCCAGGATCAAGCAGTGTTTCGTTCTGCTGTGCATAAGGTCGCTATGGGTTGGTACTGACTCAATGGCACCTAACAACAACAGACTTGTCATTCCCACTGAATACCAGGATACAGACCCAGATCCCCTAGGGTGGGACTCTGCATGTACAACTTGCATGCTTGACATTGAAGTAGAAGGTAAAACAAATAGGATTTGAATAATGATAATAATTTTTATGACCCTGTAGAGTAAGCTGTGGCATTGTAGGTTAATGCGCTAGACTGCAGCATCAGTTTGAACCACAAGGTCAGAGGCGCAAGCTTACCAGCTGCTCCTTGGAAACCCCATATAAGGTCGCTATGGGTTGGAATTGACTTGACATTACTTAACAACAACAGCAACAGAATAAATAGGGACTCCTGGTGTGGCCCTGTGTGTTTATGTGCTGTACTACAGTGTCGGTTTGAACCACAATATCAACGGTTCAAGCTCACCAGTCGCTCCTTGGAAACCCTATGGTCGCTATGGTTTGGAACTGACTTGACGGCACTTAACAACAACAAAGCGTAAACAGAGAACCTTATTTCTTTCATGTTTTTCATGGTAGTTTTGAAACATGGTGCCTATCACAATCATCTGGGGAGATTGTTATAAAGAACACAGAGAACAAGACTCATGAATACGGACTGGGCCTTTGTATTTTTATCAAGATCTCCAGGAAATTCTGATACTTATCAAAGTTTTCATTCCACTGTTTAAGTATGTGATGACAGTAACTGCCCCCTTTTAAATGGGTTAGAGAACTAAGGTGGAGAGCTGAGTGATGATTGGACCCAGGTCATGTGATCTCTTAAGACTGAATACAATCCTCCTTTAGGCTAGAAGTTGTAGACTCCAGAGGCAAAATGAAAGCCCTACCCTGATTGCAATGAATCACCCATCCTTATTCCCTCAGAGTGTTCTTTAAGTACCTCTCCATAGTATCTGACTGATTACTGTGGATCTTCCCCACACCTAAACAACAATGACAACAATACTAATGCACATGCATTAAATATGTTCTATGTGCCAAGCGGTTCGAAACTACCAGCCGCTCCGCGGGAGAAAGATGAGGCTTTCTACTCCCGTAAAGATTTACACCCTCGGAAACCCTGTACAGGGTCGCTATGGGTCGGACCCGACTCGATAGCACTCAACAACAACAACAACAACAATGTGCCAAGCTCTAGACTAAATGCTAGGCAGTATTGTTTCTTCCATTGTACACATGAGGATCAGAGAGATTACTTCACTTACCTAAGGTGATCCAGGTAGTACTAGAGGCAGAACTTTGGTTTGAATGTAGGTCTTTTGGAATATGCCTTAGAAACAGTAATTTAGATATCTCTGTGTTCATGCACTGTACCTAGAAACTCCAAAATAATTTACAGCACTTTCATGTACATAATATAGTTGATGTGGGTCTAAGACTTTGGGACTTTTGCATCAATAAAATTTCCAAATAAATTTGAGGAGCTGGCTTGTCACATTGAAAACCAATTCAACAGCAGTAAGAACAATGTGAAGTCCTGTTGTGGCACTGTGGGTTAATGAGCTGCTCGGTGGTTCAAGCTCACCAGCTGCTCCTCAGAAACCATATACAGGGTTACTATGGGTCAGAATCAACTCTACGTCACTTAGCAGAAGCAGCAACAGCAACAATATAGATTGCCAAGTGCCTGCTATGTGCCATGCCAAACTGGGAAGAAGCTAATGAACAAACATAACAAGTACCTGCCAGACAACTCAACTCCAGGGCAACCTGTTTGGTTTAAGAGGATCTGGGTGGTTCATATGGTTAAATGCTAGACTATAAATCAAAAGGTTGTTGGTTTAAAT